TCAGTTGCAACGCAAACGTCAGGGATATTGAGAAGCATTGGAGGATAAGAGGAATTTCAGTCCAAGAAAACTGCATTTCCAGGTTTTGGGGTCCGGTCTCTCCTTGTGGGTCTGGTTCCTTCAAGCCATGGAGCTCTGCCAGCCCCATGGCCCTCCTCTCATGTCTTGGTTGACTGTGGCAAGGGGGGGTGTACCGTTGACTGGATCGGACCTCAAGGAATCCTGACTGTTTTGTCCACAGGTGACCAATGCCACCCAGAGTTTCTCCTTCAGGGTGGAGAGAGACATCCCGGTCGAAGGCCTGAAGCCTGCCGTGGTGAAAGCCTACGATTACTACGAAACAGGTGAGAGAAGGGGGGGTCACTCTAGCACTGCCGGCTGGCACAGCGTGGCTCAGGCTCATGGTGGCCGTGGCAAAAACAGCAGGCAGAGCGTTGTGGCCCCGAAGGATTGGCAAGCGGTGCCTGATCTAAACTTGGGAGACTTTGTCAGAGATGAACATAATTTGGGCTTTTATTTGAAGTCGGTACTTAATTTACTAGCCTTGTTTATTTGTTGCCAAATAAAACCTGTCCGTCTTTTAAAATGCAGAAATACTTTATTGTTTCATATTGTTTTTATTCATATTCTGCCTATCAGCTTACTCTCACAACAATCTTTGGGGGGGAAATTAAAGCCACCATACAAAATTATCTTTTACAACATTCTAAAACCGACTCCCTGAAAGCAGCGCCCCGCTGGCCTCCATGCAAGAATTAAAAGGAGACAGAGTTTGTTCTGATCCGCTTTCCTTTCTCTGCCCCCCCCCGCTTTGTGTTTCCAGATGAATATGCTGTGATGGATTACAACGCCCCCTGCAGTTCAGGTAGAGTATAACATATTCTTTTCTCTAGCCGGGAACCGTTCCTGCAGCTTTCTTCTTTTTCAGGATATTATATGACCTATATTAGAGAACTGACTCTTAGTGCATGAGCCAAAGTTTACTAAGAGGCCTCCATCTTGAAACAGGGGTGCAGCCACAGAGTCAGCCCATGGGGCGGATGCAATCCTTGCCATGTGTATTGGACATGAGATGATGTCTGGGAGAAGACATCAGGTGATGCGCCCAGTGGTTGGCTCTTCATGCTATAGAAGTGCTGCACACTACGGTGCTGAGTGGAGTGTTGTGTTCGAGAGTTGTGGCACGAAGTGCTGTCCGTTTATGGACATGGTTCCTTCGTACATCATCTGCACGTCTGCGGCTGATAAAGGAGCCCACTGCCTGTGTCAGTCTCTTTGCCGTCCACCTAGAAGACTTTTCTCAAAACCATCTCCCACTTACCCCAAATCTTGACATTCTTTGCTTCAAACGTTCACCTCCTTCGGCCAGTTTTCTCTCTCTTTCCTTGAAAGTAGTGGGAAAGTTCTAGAACGACCCGCTTTTTAAAACAACAACACCCCATAGCAACATCCTTGCCTTGCTTTGGAAGATCATCCAGACCAAGAACGATTATCCTGTCCTGAGGGCTATGGGATTTTAATGAGTAACAAATTTTGATGATATAAGTTGTTTCTTATTGGAAGCTGGAATGAGCATGGATTTGAAGTGGGGAAAATTGATTTCTTTGGAAGTAGCCATGCTGGCTGAGGGAGGGTGGTAATTTTATCCCCTAAAAGCAATTTTCATATCTCGGGTTTATAGTATAGTCATCATCATCGAAATGAGTGTCTCTCAAGGAGACACAGTGGGGAATCGAACTCCCAACCGCAGGCTCCACAGACCCAGACCAAGACCACTGAGCTGCCCAGCGATCGGGGAACATCCAGTTCTCTAAACGGGCCTGGCCCTTGGCATGCAAGGATCTCTCAAAGGGCATTTTTGCACCTCCCAGGCCCTCCCGCAAAACTCCCAGTGCAAAAAACAAAACAAAAACGGAGAGTTGTTAAAAAAGAGAAGATGCTTTTCAAAGTCTGCAGGAGCTACCGTTTTTGTTTTTGATTTTTGCTTGGCTGTGGAGCCAGAGGTTGGGAGTTTGATTCCCCAGAGTGCCATGTGGGAGAAAAAAGCAGCTTGGGTGGCCTTGGGCAAGCTGCACAACAGTCTCAGGCCACCCCCTAGACTCCTAGAGGAAGAGAAGGGCAAACCACTAAACCACTTCTGAGTCTTCTCTACCTGGAAAGCCCTGGAACTCTTCCATCTCCCAGACAAAGTGACACAAGGAAGCGGGGGGGGGGGAAGACTTTGGTTTTTCCCCCCCTCAAGACAAAGTCCATCTCCCAGACAAAGTGACACAAGGAAGCGGGGGGGGGGGAAGACTTTGGTTTTTCCCCCCCTCAAGACAAAGGTCCTTTTTATGGGGGCCTTCTTTATTATGCAGCTTTCTAAGGCTCAAGCCTGCTATGGCAATACCCAGAGATGCAGAGGATGGAAAAAAGAGAAGAAAAATCTGGGGAAATCATCTTAAAAGTAAAAAAGATAAAAACACCACACAATAAAACCATGATGTAACCTTTTCTTACGCTAGGGCCAAATATAGATATATGTTTTCTGTTACTTCCCATTGTTACTTGGAATAAAAAGAATATTTTCTATTCCGCAAGATGTATTTCAAGTGTTTCTTTAACAGATTACTGTATAGCTGAAAAGTGGAAAGCCTTCCTGTCTATCAATTTTTGCTTTTCTTTCTTTCTTTCTCGGGATATTTTGTCTTATCCTCTCTCTGTTTTCAACTTTATTTCTGAAATCCAACAGAGTTAAGTCCAAACTACTGTATTGTGGTTGATTGCTGTGCAGTGCCATATCTGGCAGCTGATCTGGAGGGCTTTCTCAGGATTACACAATGCTGTGAAGCCATTCTCAAGGAGTCATCAACACGTACTAGTCACGATGATGATGGATACAACCTCCAGTATCAACACCAGAAACAAAAGGCAACTTAATTTATTCTTTAAAATTAGAACTAGCAAATCAGAAATATAAATTGTGAGCTGGATTGGAATTCTAGGGATGCGCCTGAGCACCAAAATTTGGATTGAGAACTTGGACTTTGGAATTCAGAATGACAACACTTCAGATTCAGAGTTTCCAAATACAGTGGTGCCTCGCTTAACGAGTGCACTGTATAACGACGAAATCACATAGCGATGCAGTTTCCACGATCGCTTACCGATGGCCCCAATGGGCGAAACTCGCATAGCGAAGGTCAGTAAGCGTTTCGCTTCCCCACCTTCACTTTGCGACCTGCGGATCAGCTGTTCGGCGGGTTCAAAATGGCCGCCAGAACAGCCGAAATGGCCGCGCGCAGCGTTTTCCCGCCCTCGGTAAGTGAGGGGAGGGCGCGAAAATGGCTGCCGGCTATGGGAAGACTTCGCTAAACGGTGAGTTTTCAGCCGATTTGGAACTTTTTACTTTCCGTTTAACGAAGTTTTCACATAGCGAAGGTTAATCCGGAACGGATTAACCTCGCTATGTGAGGCACCACTGTATCTAGAACTCTCAATTTGAATACAGTAAAAGGTAAAAGTAAAAGTTCCCCTTGTCCAGTCCAGTCCAGTCATGTTTGACTCTAGGGGGCGGTGCTCATCCCTGTTTCCAAACCATAGAGCCAGCATTTGTCCGTAGACAGTTTCTGTGGTCACGTGGCCAGCGCGACTAGACACAGAACGGCGTTACAGTACTGTGTCATTATTTTCCATTCTAAAAGACACAAATGGGCAAAACGTGTGTCAAGGATTCCCTGTGGGAGATCTTTTCCAGGGATTGTGCTAGACCAAAAGAGTGCACACCAACAGCTAGCAATGCCTAGGTAGGAGGACATGACTGTCAATGGCATGCTGATTGAACCCTGAGCACGCCAGCAGGCAATGCTGGCAGCCTCGCAGAAGCAGGCGACAGGTTGCGGTGGGAAGCGGGCAAAGACCCTGGGCAGCACCGGCAAGCAGACTGGAGCAGAAGAGAGTCTGTGGCAGGTGAGGACGGCACCATCTGCAGGAGGCACCGCAGTCAGGAGAAAGAAAGAGGCAGGAAGAAGGGGCAGCAGACTGAAGTGTGTGGCATACCTAGTATTCTAGGGTGAGTGTGCCATTCTCTCTTACTTAAAGGGGGCATCAGGGAAGGCTGGTTGACCTTAAGATTCTCCAGGTTGTAGGCAAGAGCAATGCAGGCTAACGATGCCCCCCTGCTTGAGAGAACCCTCTTGGCGCACACTAGTTGGTGGGCAAGACAGCCGTGGCCAGACCTCCCCAAGCAGACCCCTCCTTGGCAAGGGATCAGTCTCTTCCAGCTTGCAAGGCTCCAGCGTGTATACCTTGGCCATGTCCTTCCTCTGGGGTGGGGGGTCTGGAGGATGGGCCCCTGCCATGCTTGTCCCAGAAAGCTTGCCCTGATGTCCCAGGGGTGAGGGACTCTAGAACCCAACAGCTGTCACTGCTGTTTGGGGTGCTATGAAGACTGCTGCTCTGTGTGATCTTCTCAGTGCTAGCTGGATCTTCTCCAATTGCTCCTTCTGCTGCATGTGATGGAAAGCTGGCTAGCAGTTTCCCCCCCACGCCGTGCTGCTGCTCAGTATCCATTTACCGCTTTTTTAATCGGGGAGGTGGGTCAAGAGGGTTGCTAGATGGTGCTCCCCACTCCACCTCAGTGCTAGCTGGATCTCTCCAATTGCTGCTTCTGCTGCATGTGACGGAAAGCTGGCTAGCAGTTTACCCTCCACGTCGTGCTGCTGCTCAATATCCATTGACCGCTTTTTAAATCGGGGAGGTGGGGCAAGAGGGTTGCTAGATGGTGCTGCCCCCTCCATGAGGAGGCCAACCTGTAGTGGAACTACAAAAGGCAGAAGCTGAAAATCCAAAAATTGGAAGTTGCCACAGAGACTGGCAAAACATTACGAAGAAAAACATGGCCAAAATAGCCCAAAAAACCCACAACAACCAGTTATAAGGTTCTTCCCCTTTATGGGTCCTTTCTTGGCAAAATCCAGAGAAACAAAACAAAACAAGACAGAAGCATGTGGCTTCTTAAAGATTAATTATTGTAATTTAATGTGAGCTTTCATGGACACGTCCACTTCGTCAGACATATGGAAACAGAATGAAATGCTGAATGAGTAACTTCTAAATATTAATTCTAAATATGGGTGTATGATACATTTACATACACTAAGTCATAACTTATGTTGTTTTAGGGCTCTCTTGTAAAAATTCCTCCAGGAGACAGAAAACACACCATTCCTGGGATTAGCAGCCTTTGGTTGGCCCGGGTGGAAGCCACTGCATCACCCCACCCCATCTATCTCTGTCCACCTGCTTGTTCTATTATACACCCCCCCTTTCCCCTCATTCTCTCGCTTTCTCTCTTTTTCCTTCTATCTTCGGTATCTTAAATCTAGGTTACACCTTAGGATAAAGATCGTCTTCATAAACAGTTCTTTCCATTTTTTTTATAGCAAAAGGAGAGCTAAAACGCCCTTAAATCAGGGGAATTTTAAAAATATTTTTGTTTTATTTTTGCCTGACATGGAAGGGAAGGGAATCAGACAAAGAACTTTTTTAAAAAAGTCTTAAATAAGGGGATTTTTAAAAAATTGTTTTATTTATTTTGTTTTGGCCAGACATGAAAGGGAAAGGAATCGGACCAAACTAAATGTAGTAGAACTCCAATCAGGATGATAATGCAGAACCTCCACGCCCAGCAGCAGTCTACCTTTGAAGCAGAGCCCGGGACACACCCTTTTTTCGGGAGTAACTACAGCTCCCAGAATCCCCCCTGCCAGTATGATAGTTGGGGGAATCTGGGAACTGTAGTCCAAAAAACAACAATCCATAATCTCCACCCACCTCTCCCAAGGTCTGATCTCTCTCTCTCTCTCCTGCACACATGCTTTACTGCACCCTCGTTTTCCTTTCGGCCAGCTGTTCCCCCATCTTCCACATGTCATGGTGGTTGGGGAATCTGGGAGCTGTAGTCGAAAAAACAACCCATAATCCCCGCCCACCTCTCCTAAGGTCTGATCTCTCTCTCCTGCACACATGCTGCACCCTCGGTTTCCTTTCGGCCAGCTGTTCCCCAATCTTTCCCCACAACTTCCGGACTCCATTTTCCCTTTGTGCCCCGCAAGGTTCCTTTCTGCCCCCCACTTACCGCCCTCTTCGCAAAACGCCGGAAGACCTTGGAGCCACACTATTTCCATTCTCCCTTTGCTCAACTCCCTCCTCCGTTTGCCTCTCTAGGAGCGAGGACTCGGTGGCTTTAACTCTTCCTCGGATGAACAAAAACAAAACCCTTACACACGCACGCACACACCCCATTTAACAAGGTTCTCTTTCAAGGCAAAACCCGTAACTCTTGCAGCCCAGGCAAGCATCAATTTCTCCAGCGGAAGAAACGTTTATTCTAGAAACTGAAAAATAAAATAAAATAAAGTCCAATGGGAAATATTTGAAAAGAGGTCTGGGTATGCAGAGCCCGGAGCAAAGAAGACCCAAGATCCGGGTTTAAAGGCTCTTCACAAAGACTATGGAGCGGACTTGTGTAAGACCTTTATTTATTTATGATCCATTTTTATCCCTTTTTAAAAAAATGCATATTTATACTCCTGCTCTACGGGCCAAGAGAGAGAGAGAGAGAGAGACGCCCCAGTCATGAGATTGATCAAAACTAGTCCCCCTCCCTTAAAGGTTGCCTTCCAAAACAAGTCACACGACGCAAAAGAAAAGAGGGAATAAAGTTTTAAGTTTTTAATATATGGGGAATGATCCGATGCAACTGTAATGGTGTATTGCAGCTGATTGTTGTTAGTTTCCTCAGTGGGATTACCAACAACTCCACGAACAACCCTTAATCCCTCTGTGGTGCTTCCAATATTTCCTTTTTTCCCACAGAGTTGTGGCAAAACTGATGGAGGTTCATTGGGGTGAGAAAAGCCAAAGTCCCCTGGAGTTAGCTTCCCATGAAAGCTGAGGAGGGCCCTGCTCAGCACCATTCATTAATTGTAAACTGTTCCAACCCTAATCCCAGAGGTTGGAAAAAATATGTTCTTGCGGGTCTGGAAGTACGTTCCAAAACTTTGGCATTTCCCTTCCCATTCCTCCTCAAAACCGGTCTTTTCCTTAATACAGTGGGGCCTTGCTAGACGATGATAATCCGTTCCACTGAAATCGCTGCGTAGCGAAATCATTGTCTAGCGAAAAGCATTTTCCCATTGGAATGCATTGAAACCTGTTTAATGCATTCCAATGGGGAAGAATCATCGTTTTCTAGTGAAGATCAGCCATAGGAAAGCTGCTTTGCGAACCGCTGATCAGCTGTTTAAATAGCTGTCTTGCGAAGCTTAGGTCCCGAAAACACCCGTTTTGCGAGCACGGAGGGAGCTGTCAAAATTGTCGTCTAGCGAAAATTGGTTTGCGAAGCAGGGGCCAAACATTGTCCAGCGAAATTCCCCCATAGGAATCACTGTTTTGTGAATTGCTATAGCAATTGCAAAAAGTCAATGTCTAGCAAAAAAAACTGCCATGCGGGGTAACTGTCTAGCGAGGCACCACTGTATGTTGTTTCTCACAAGCCTAACAGCTGAGCCCTAATGTAAGGGAAAGCAATCTGGTTGCCACCAGGTTTGAACTACAAGTTCCATAAGCCACATACAGACAAGGACTTCTGGGCTTATAGTCCAAAGCACCTGGACAGCAGCAGCCGCATCTCAGATGGTGAAGATGCTCCTTCAGGAGTTATGTTAGTAAAGCTGGCAAATTACTAGAGGTAACTAAAATTCCAAAAAAACCTCCTTGTTTTGCATTTTGGAGGACATTTTCATCAGGTGGAGATCAGGGCTGTGAAAGACAGGGCGTTTTGGAGAATCTCTCTCATTCATAGAGTCCCCGTAAATTGTGGGGGCGACTTACCAACACGTAACAACAACAAGGTGATGTAAAAAAAACTGGCATGGGGGTTGAATTAAGGAAGGTCAACATTTGCTAGTGTAGCCAGGACCTCCCTTTTTTTGACCTGTACTGCTTCTCCATGCCTTCCCCGCTGGTGCTTGGTCTTCTGACCCTGCAGCACAGGCTTCTGCGGTTTAGCCCGCAGCGCCACCACATGCCTTTTTATAAATTTAGTTACCTCTAGTATAAATTACTAGAGGTAACTAAAATTCCAGAAAAACCTCCTTGTATTTGCATTTTGGAGGACATTTTCATACAGGTGGAGATCAGGGCTGTGGAAGACAGGGCATTTTGGAGAATCTCTCTCATTCCTAGGGTCACCGTAAGTTGTGGGGGTGACTTAACAACACGTAACAACAAGGTGATGTAAAAAAATTGGGATGGGGGTTGAAGTAAGGAAGGTCATCGTTTGCTTTGGTAGCTAGGACCTCTCTCTTTTTTTGACCTCTACTGCTTCTCCATGCCTTCCCCGCTGGCCTCAGATGGTGAAGATGCTCCTTCAGGAGTTATGTTAGTAAAGCTGGCAAATTACTAGAGGTAACTAAAATTCCAAAAAAACCTCCTTGTTTTGCATTTTGGAGGACATTTTCATCAGGTGGAGATCAGGGCTGTGAAAGACAGGGCGTTTTGGAGAATCTCTCTCATTCATAGAGTCCCCGTAAATTGTGGGGGCGACTTACCAACACGTAACAACAACAAGGTGATGTAAAAAAAACTGGCATGGGGGTTGAATTAAGGAAGGTCAACATTTGCTAGTGTAGCCAGGACCTCCCTTTTTTTGACCTGTACTGCTTCTCCATGCCTTCCCCGCTGGTCCCATGGCCCCACTCTATAGCATGAATAAGATTGTACTTGAAGATGATTAGATATGCTGGTTACTAACATTTCCAAGAAGCTGTTAGTTTACTGTGGGAAAAGAGACAGAGACAGGAGGAGTCAGTGACACCTTGAAGATTAAGGTGAGCAGTCAAGGATCCTGCCCACTTCGTTCACAAGCAGAGAGTAGAAGATTCCCACCTCTGAAAGGAACCAGCGCGTTTCCTTGAAAGCTTCTCAAGTAAATTTTGTTATCTACCACAACCACCACCAGCTTGTTGTTGTGTGCCGTCAAGTTGGCCCCACAGTTTATGGTGATATAAGTGGGTTATGCATAACCCATGAATTTCATTATGCATAATCCATGGGCACACATTTGTTGTGACTGCTTATTATTACCGCTCTTTCTTGCTGGTGTTAACTATGACTGCTTTCACTTTCTGTAGCACATTGATCAATTTCTTAATAATTTCTTAATAATCTGAATATCATCCGAATGGATGCAACGGGGAAAAAACTAGCAACAAAGAACCCTATAAGGCTTCTCCACATTTATGCTAACAACCTTGATCCTCCAACTTCCTAGCAAGATTGTCATAACAATACAGTAAATAGTTTCTTCATGGGAAAGGGAGGCCCTGCCTTAGGAAAGATGCTGGTGTTGCTTTCTTTTCTAGTTCCAGGAAATTATTGTGGAACCACAAGAAGAAAGGGCTGTACTTTCACTTGTATCTTTTGTACAAATTTGAAATCCATATCTGTGAATTGTATATTGAATATATTGTTATATAGAGTCTTGTGGGCTTCAGTTTTAATGTGAAAACTGTCCAGAGTAATGCTAGCCTAGCAATAAAAGGACAGTATATAAATCAGATACATGCATGCATGCATGCATACATACATACATACATACATAATTTATTATTTATTTAAAATCTTGTTACCCTGCCTTTCTCCTTAAAAGGGACCCCATGTGGATTACATCACTGAAAGACAATATCTAAACTCTGAGTATACAATGGTGGTTTACATCCTTAAAGCCAATATTTAAAAGCTAAGAACAATGAATATAAAAAGGCAGCTTACATCATTAAAAGACAACATTAAAGCTGAAAACAGGTATACAAATATTTAAAAGGAACAAACAAATACAGTGGTGCCTTGCTTAACGGGCGCCCCATTTAACGATGAAATCACATTGCGCCGAAGATTTTGCGATCGCTTATGCGATCGCATCACGATGTTTTAAATAGGGAAAAATCGCTTTGCAGCAATTTTTCCTGCACCGATTATCGTCGCTATGCGAGGCACCACTGTACCACTCTGTGTAATGGAAAACACCAGTAGTACTAAAAGCCCAGTCAAAGCAGTAAAGTGTAACAATCTATCTAAAAATCAGACTCAGGTAGCCAATCACTGCGGGAAGGTTTGCCTGAAGAGAAAGGTCTTTGCCTGCTTATGAAAGGGCAGCAAAGATGGGGCTGATACCAAGGGAATCTGAAACTGCATTTTTGATTTAACTAGTTGACAGTGGGCACACAGAGAAAGACCAGGCCTCAGGAGAATTCGACCCTGAAACATTCACACTTGGCCCAGAGGCATTTATGGCTGACCTAGAATAACAATGTAACACTTCTTCCTGGCCTATTCATCCTTTTGGTGTAACTGATGGCCCTTCATTGGAATGCTTGCAGGAGGAAAATAACAAGTAACATACACTGGGGAGACACAGTATTGAAGGTTATATTTCAGACCCAGGAAGACAGTACATAAACATATCAATAGATAAGGCCCCTCCTGATTATCTTAACACCCCAGCCTTGCTGCAGAAGGTCAACGAACTCTACCCAGCCCACCCAGGTGCAAGGACCAGGGATCATTGCACAAAAGAGACCAGCTAAAGACACCCATCAACCACAGTGACAGATCATCTCTCCCACTTATCACAACAATACATCCACAACAAAAACATGCTGATTACCCTATCTCCTGAAAAGGACAAAAGCTGTTCCCACAGCTATAAATACTCAACTATCCAACAAACAGCAACAGAGCATGGACAGAGTTCCTACTCCACTCCTCTGAAGATGCCGGCCACAGAGACTGGCAAAAAGTCAGGAAGAACAAACTTCTTTAAATCAGTTCTTCACTTCCACTGTGTATTCATAAGGGATTTGGTTTAGATTATACCTGACTAGCCCAGTGGTTTTTCCTGCTCTCTTCAGTTTAAGCTTGAATTTTTCTATGAGAAGCTGATGATCAGAGCCACAATCAGCTCTAGGTCTTGTTTTTGCTGACTGTATAGAGCTTCTCTATTGTTGATTGCAGAGAATATAATCAATCTGATTACGGTATTGCCCATCTGGTGATGTCTATGTATAGCGTCGCCTCTTGTGTTGTTGGAAAAGTGTGTTTGTGATGACCAGCTTGTTCTCTTGACAAAACTCTATTAGCCTTTGCCCTGCTTCGTTCTGAACTCCAAGGCCAAACTTCCCTGTTGTTCCTTTTATCTCTTGACTCCCTCCTTTAGCATTCCAGTCCCCTAGAATGAGAAGAACATCTTTCTTTGGTGTCAGTTCTAGAAGGTGTTGTAAATCTTCATAAAAATTGGTCAGTTTCAGTCTCCTCCGCATTGGTGGTTGGTGCATACACTTGGATGACTGTGATGTCCATAAAGGGGTTATAAGTTAAAACCAGCACTTTAAATTGTGCCCGGAAACGAATTGGCAGCCCGCGGAGCTGTTGTAACAGGAGGGTTATGTGATCCCTGTCACCAGCCCCAGGAGAAGAAAGGGTTGCTGGAAAGGAAGATGGGATAATGTAAAGGCAGAAGCCCTACCTATGGCGTGGGGGGCCCTAAAAGATTTGTCCGCTCTCTCTTAAACAGTTGGCGCAGCCTCCAGGATCAACCACAGCTCAAGGGACCAGCTTGGAAGCACCCCCAGGCCTTCGTCAAAGTTGGGTAACCCAATGGCAGGACTTCCTGGAGACCTTGGATTCCCCTGACTCTGGATGGGGAAACCCCCAGCGGGCAGAGCTATGGGGTGATGCCAAGACCTTCCTGGCTTCCTTCGAACAGGTGGCCGAAGCCTGCCGGTGGCCTAGAAGGGAGTGGGCGGCCCGGCTCTTGCCAGCCCTCAATGGAGACGCCGAACAGGCCTTCAGGGGCTTGCAAGCCCCAGACAGAGAGGATTATGGGAAAGTCAAGGCTGCCATCTTGCGCAGGGAAGCCGTCAAAAGGGAGGCGCGGCGCCAGCAGTTCAGGAAGTTCCACTGCCAGGAAGTGGAAGACCCACGTAAAGTTTACCACCGGCTCCAGGAGCTTTGCCACCAGTGGCTGAAGCCGGAAAAGCACACCAAGGAGCAGATCCTGGATTTGCTCATCCTGGAGCAGTTCTTGGCCAGCCTGCCACCCGAGATTCGAGACGACGCAAGTGGGGGCAGCGTGGCAGAGGACCACGTCCAGAGAGTGGCCCTGACCGAGGATTTCCTGATGAGGCGTCAAGAAGCTGAGATGGAGAGATGGCAGGTGAGCTTTTTCGTGGTTTATCCTTCATGCCCGTGATCAAGAAATGCAGCTTGCACTCAGAGATTGAGATTGAGGTGGGGGTGGAGGAAGGGACATTAATTGGACTACATCTCCCAGAATTCCCAATGGCTGAGGGAATTCTTGGACTTCCTTTCAAACTCCACGTGAGCGAAATGAGCAGCAAACCCATGATCACCACTAATCATTGAATGTTTCCTTTTGGAAAAATATTTATGATTGTTATAGGGCTAGCAGTGTGATGGGTGCTGCTGTGCAGGAAAGATAAAAAAGGGATGATGATGATCATTCTGTGATGATGGTGGTGACAATGATGGTGATTTGTCATGTAATTAATATGGCACCTAAAGTGTTCTAGAGCACTGGGTTACCTTTACAGTGGTGCCTCGCATTACGATGTTAATTCGTTCCAGCTAAATCGCTGTAGAACGAAAACATAGCAAAGCGAAATTAAAAAGCCCATAGAAACGCATTAAAACCTGATTAATGCGTTCCTATGGGCTTGAAACTCACTGTCCAGCAAAGATCCTCGATAGCGCAGCCATTTTCACTGCCTGTGCAGCGAGGAATCCGTCCCAGAAAAGAGCGGGGAGCCATTTTTTTACCCGGCGGCCATTTTGAAACCGCTGATCAGCTGTAGGAAAATCGTCGTTTTGTGAGAATCAGTTCCCGAAGCAGGGAACCGATCATCGCAAAGCGAAATTCCCCCATAGGAAACATTGTTTTGTGATCGCTTTTGCAATCGCAAAAACTTCGCCATGATGCAATTTCGTCATAAAACGGAGGGCTCGTCTTGCGAGGCACCACTGTATTTTCCAAATGTCAGGTTCAGAGCAGATAGTTAGCTGGATAGCTTAGTGAGTTAGGTATCTAACTCCAGATATAGAGATTGGGAGTTCGATTTCCCACTGAGCATCACAGAATCCGCTAACTCCAGATATAGAGATTGGGAGTTCGGTTCCCCACTGAGCATCCCAGAAGATCCAGCCTAGGTGGCCTTGGGCAACCTGTATAGTCCCAGGGCTCCCCCTAGAGGAAGGGAAGGGTAAACTACCCCTGAGTATTCCCTACCTGGAAAACCCTGAAAAGGGTTGCCATAAGTTCGAATTGACTTGATGGCACACTATTATTATTATTATTCAGGGCAGATATGGAGAGTAGTCCCTGAGTACAGCTTCCTAGGATTTTCCAGGGGCAAGGTTGAGGGGGGGTGTCTCCTTTTTCACTGTTTGGCTTCAGAGAAGCCTTCCTGGTTTGTTGAAAGCAAAGTTGTCTTGGGCAGCCTGAAGAAGATGACCAGAAGACTTCTCTACAGTCCAGGTTGCAGGCAGCACTTTCCTATCTCAGATGTACATCTTGGTTTAACAAAGCAAGGATCTCAGATGTACATCCTGGTTTAACAAACCAGGATGTACATCCTGGTTTAACAAACCAAGATATCTTTATAGCTGGAGCATGAAAGGGAAGAGAAAACAGAGGCCCTGTTCAGGCATTAGAGATCAAACATATGGAGGAGGGTGAGTCTATCAAAATCTATTCCGGAAAGAAAAGCAAAGGTTGTAAATGTTGTGGGGGGAGGGGTTTGGGTCATGTATGTCCACATCTTCCTTTAAGACCTGTTATGTTGGTGAGATAAATCTGAGAGTAGTCGTTGCAAAAAGTAACTTTTTCAAACGCTGTTGTAAAGATAACTACACACACGCGCACGCACCCGTGCCATTTAGGCTTTCAAGGGCCATCCCAAAACATTTTAACGTTGAGAGAAAAGGACAAAATGTTATTTTATTTAAAACATTTTTACCCTGCCTTTCTCCTTAAATGTGGACCCGAGGCAACTTACACGAGTTAGAGAACAATATTTAAAAGCTAAAAACAGAAAGTATACAAATATTGACTCAAACAAATGCCACACTAAAATAGTAAACCAAAATCAACACCCAAAACACATTCACCACAACAAGGTACAACAGTCTGCTTAAAAAGCTCTGTCAGACAGTCGGTCGCTAAGGAGAAACCTGTCTTTGGGAGAACGCTTTCTCTTCTATCACTCCGTCACAGGTGCAGAAGTTTTCTAAATTAGAAGATGAATCAGACCCAATGCTGGTGGCAGGATAGCACCCGTCACTGCCCTTAGGAGGTAGAGGATAAGCTGTGTGGTACACACTGTGCGGATGCCCAACCAGAAGACTGTCGCCTATCAGCCCATACCACGTGAAGCAATTGCCTCACTCTGCCTAATGTTGGGACCGGCCCTGTTGCCTTCAAAGGGAATCCTGTGGGGGATTGTGGACTTTGTGTTTGTTTGTTTATTTATTTATTACACTTCTATACCGCCCATCTAGACCAAAGGTCTACTCGTTGTAGGCTCCGCAGCAGCCTCGGGCCCGAGAGAGCGGTCTTCTGGGCCATTTATTTATTTATTTATTTGACTTCTATCCGGCCAACCTAAACCAAAGGTCTACTCTTTGTAGGCTCCGCAGCAGCCTCGGGTCCAAGAGAGCGGTCTTCTGGGCCGGTGGCAATCTGAGTTGGTTATATTTCCATTTGAGGGCACGTGGGTGGAATGGGAAGCGGAGGTGGGCTTATATTTTAGTGGTTTAAATCCTCCTTCTCTGTGTTCAGGTCCCATTCCACGAGATCACCGTGGAACTTGAGGAGGACCCAGTAGACACCACCTGGAGGCAGGATTGCCAGGAAGCTGAGCAGAAAGACGATCAGGATATCATTTCAATCCGTAAGCATCTCTTAACGGTTCCGCCAGCTCTGCAATCTAAGAGGAGGAGGATTTGTTTATGTGACTTCAGTACAAAAATCCGAGAACTGCCACAAGTCGAGGCATGCCGTTGCTTTCCTGAACCGAGGGGGTAACTAATGCCCTGTACAGGCTTCTTAACTTGTCACACTTCTTTGCTGAATTCACTCAGAAGTAGTTTGACTTTCACTTCTTCTGGGGTGCTCTGGGACTGTGCAACTGGCCCAAGGCTATATAGGCTGTCTCTTTCCCTGGGAAGCCAATTGGGAATCCGTCCCCCAATGCCTGGCTCCACAGCCAGATATCCAGATGCCCAGACAATTACAGTGGTGCCCCGCATAGCAACGATAATCCGTTCCGGATAAATCATTGCTATCCGGAAACGTCGCTATACGGGGGCAAAAAACCCCCATAGGAACGCATTGAAACCCCTTCGACGCGTTCCTATGGAGGATAAACTCACCGCTAAGTGGAGATCCTCCATAGCGCTGCCATTTTCACCACCTCGGTAAGCAAGGAATCAGTGCGAAAACGCTGGAAGGTGGCCATTTTGTTGACACGGCGGCCATTTTGGAACTGCCGATCAGCTGTTTTAAAACATCGCAATGCGAAGATCGGTAAGTGAAATGCTTGCCAATCACCGCAACGCAATGTTTTACCTATTTAAAACATCGCAATGCGATCGCAAAAGTGATCACAAAATCCGCATCACTATGCGGATTCGTCATTAAACGGGGCACTCGCTATGCGGGGCACCACTGTATTAACATGTACAGAGAGCTTTTTTTCCCCTGCCTAAACTTTTGTTGGACAATACAGACCTGGAGAATGGATTTCCCCCCAGCTTAAAACTCAAATACGCAAGGAGTAACTGGAGTTATGTTTTATGCTTGTGGGGTGGAGAGTCAGACTGCAGTCCTGCTCTATGGCCAGTTTCTAAAATTTACTACTTCCTCTTTCTGTCCTTTGCCACAGCTGATGAGCGATCGCTTCCCTCCAGTCTGGTGTTTTACTCTTCTGAAGGACAGGAAGAAGCTAATGCAGAAATGTTTGAGGTTTGTGAGGTCCCAATAATATAATTTACTTAATATATTGATTGCACTTGTGTTGAATGCTAAGATTATTCCTTCCTCTCACTGCTTCACAATTATCGGGTGAGATAACGACAACAGCAAAGGCCAGATGTTCTTGGACTACAACTCCTAGAAGCCTTCACCACCGCCTCTGCTGGCCAGGATTTCTGGTAGTTGAAGTCCAAGAACATCTGGAGGCCCAAAGTTGGGGACCATTGATTCTAGTCCAGCCCGTTAAGGAGGCCCAGTGGGTAATCAAACTCCCAACCTCTGGCTCTGCAGCCAGAGATCTAAACCCCTAAGGTATCCAGGGGTGCATGTACCACCAAACAGCACTTCAGTTGACGTTTTTTCGAATTGATTTGAGAGTTGCAGTTAATCACTAAAATATATCTGTTCTTACAAGAGTGTTCTTACAAAAGTATTTTTAACATAATGTTGTGGCTTCCATCATCTTCATTAGAGTAGACCTTTGGTCTAGATGGGCGGGATAGAAATCCAATAAATAAATAAATAAATAAATTACTAATTTATAAATAAATAATAAAGATAGATGGATAAGATAGATAGATAGGTGTGTGTTTGTGTGTGAGTGTAATATATATCCTCTGAAATATGCAACCTTCCATATACAAATCTCTGTATGTGTGTTTGCGAGAGAGATGGTGGAATGCTAGATAGAGGGATCTGTATCTCTTTATCGAGTCCTCTATTATGTCATGTCCGCCTTCTTTTTATTTTTCATTCCTCCATGGAAGTTGTGGTTCTTTGTGTATCCTTGCTCCATGAAACTGGAATGTTGCTGCAATCATCAACACACGACGTGTTCTGAAATTGGGGGGGGGGGGGGGGGGAGGGGGCACTTAAG